GCGTTTACGTCCTGTAGTTGCAGAACGTGTCTTAGGAATCGACAAAAACTGGGGTCCACTGCACATACAACATACAAAAGAGAGTCTGCAAACATAAGTCACCGCAATATCCGTGGTCCGAATGCCATGCGCCAAATTTTCTCGAACTCGTTGCCACTGAGCATTCCAAGCACAGATAACGCGGTCACTCGCGTTCGAATTTGTATGGAGACTGTCTTTTGTAAAAATTGGGTTGTGTGTGTGTTTATACAGCCTAGAACTTGGTCTGCCTCACAGGGGCGACGAGTCTCCCAGCTGTAGATGAGAAATTTAGCCAGTGCGGTACAGCCGCTAGCCTGGGGTCTTTAACGTGCATCACGCAGTAGTGATACACGACCGCACGCCGGTACGATGCTCATCCAGATCGAAACGGGCAGGGGTGGGGCTCGAACCCAGGATCCCTGGGTTCTGCAGCGCGAGCCTGTCGTATGATGCATAAGCATTGTGCCTCCGGCTTAACAGAGCAAGAGCTGTGGCATAGCCTACTCTATACTTATGGTGAATTCCACTCGTAGATCTGGAGTGCTTTCCAAAATCCGCGAGGGAGGCAGAATTCCGCTCCGTGGGACCCGCTCCGAATCGACGAGGGGAAGATAAACTTGCATTTTTGGAGCGACCTCCCCCATACCCCTCCCCACCCCTTCTCCCTCCGCCGTACGAAATGGCCGCTGCTCGAACTTGACAAGCCCACCAACGCCTCAGCCGGCTGATCTTTCCGACGACCAGTGACGACTGTCACTGCTTATCTGCAGAAGTAACACGCGACACAAACCGGTCGAAATTATACGTACCGCGGCGCCCATGTCACAAATAACGAAGACGTCCGCGTTCGGCACCGTCACATACCTTTCGGCCGCCTCGAAGCGGCGGGGCACGGACATGCAGCGATTGCCAGCGGTAGAGTTCAGATTTGTAGTACGACTTTAAAGGGGCGATGCAATGATTTTTTCTATTTTGCGCAAATACCGCTTAGAACGGATCCCTGACGTTAATGACCTGTGGAATACCCGTTCGTTTTTCACCACACGCAATCGAAGTCGCAGAAGAAAATAAAGAAAAACAAGCAGAGTTAACCCCCTCAACTCGCAGCCAGAACAAGTGGCCACGTGATCTGGAGCCGATTATATGCCGCCAATGTTGATCATAGCCACGCACTGGGGTTGGCAAAGCACAGGACACCCGCTGAGTTCCAGACATTGTTATGGTTCGGCTGTTGTCGTCGTCAGCGATTGGACAGAGGACACTACCCGAGTGCGTCTCGAGCTACCGATTGTCACGAGCCCAAATCGAGTGTCCACGCCATGCTCGGGTCCAATCTATGCGCCGCATTCAAACATCGTCAATGGGCGGCACTGCTACCGCCCAGCTACGTCATCAGGTTTTGCGAAGGAGAGATTGAACGAAAACACTCGGTTTTGCCCTCGAAATTACAGCGCAACAGATGAGTTCTTGGTCAATGGCGTTGCGGACGAGTATCCTTGAGTCCCACCAGTGCCAGTAAGCTCGTGTAAAGTAAAAAACATTGCAAACTGAATATTGTTGCTCCGCCCCTTTAATAAACACAGGTAACAAACCATCACTTGCGCGGTCGTTGCCTAACCACTTCTTGCTTTATTTCACGGGAAAACGCCGACGGAATGCAGTGTAAAAATTTAAACAATCACTGACTGCAGAATGAATAGGCCTAACCTTGCGTCTGCCTCCGGCTTTTCTGTCGTCCTTTTTCTCGTTCTTCCTCTCACGATCACAGACGTCAGCGCTAACGATTTGCCTCGCTCCACATCCCCGGCTTTTTATCCCTGATCTACGCGAGGTAGAAGCGTTCGAGCCGTCACAATCCAGAGTAAACAACCGACGCACCCGAACAGATCGAACTCCACGACCCGACCGGCCCGCCGATCTCTCTAACCTCGCCGCGCATGCGCACCGCCGATTTAGACGGAAATCACGTGGGCCGCTCTGTCAGCTTCCGGAGGGATCCGTGAAAACCCGCAGAGCAAGTTCGGCGGAGTTTGGGGCGCTCCGTGGAGCGGGCGCTGCCAGAGATCTACGATCGGAAGATGACAAACTTGAGCCAGATCTGCGAGCGGAATATGCGCGCTCCAAATGGAGCGCTTTTGGAGCGCTCGAGATCTGCGAGGGGAATTCACCATTATAAAGCCTGGCAGATCGCCACAACACGCGGCCACCGAATGTGAAAAGAGCGGCAAATAACGAGCGCCCCGTTGCGGCGAGACGCCAAAAGATACTAGTCCCGAGCGATGGAATGTCCGCTCGTGCTTCTCACGTTCCTCGGGCTACCTTTTCGTTTCTCGTCGGCTTTGAAAGCCATGATTCGGGTCCTCGCCGCTGCAAAAGCTGTGCCCTGACTACAGGCTCCCTGATAAATGCTGTGTGCTACCAGATCCTCGCACTCTAAATCTGCGACTGGGCACTCCATGGCTCCGTAATCGAACTGCCAGGCTTTGTTAGTAAAAAGGAGGCAACGTTACTAAAACACTCAGTTGGGAAACTTCCATAGAGACAGCTTTGAAAAAGTGGCTCCAAACTGTCTCCGAGCACCGAGCTAATGACGAACACAACGCCACCATTTCTCCCGCAGCGGCCACCTGATAAACTGCACGTGACTTCTTTTTTGGCTTCAAGAGCAGATACAGCGGAAGAGGTTAGAGGGGGGCCACCCCCGTCTCCCCGGCGGACGCGCCGCGTTGAGCTGCCGAAGTTAAAATGCACCTAGGGCGGGACGTGCTACCTGAAAAGCCCGCTGAGGCATGGTTGTATAAAAACAATATTAATTGTGCCGCAAAATCCTGCAAACTAAAGATTTTAGAAACATAACGCGCCCCTCTTTTGGTACTAAACTCCAATAAATTTCATACAAAAAGAGTCTTTTTCGTTTGTTTTTACGCAAAAACAGGCTTTCAAAAAGCTCAAGGTGACCACAGTACAGACAAATGATAAAGAGTAACGCTGTTGTCGCATTTAGCTCGGTCTCGGTGGACGCCAGCGGCCCAGGTCTCGACGGGGAGTTCCCCAACTGAGTGTTTTAGTAACGTTGAAAGGAGGCTATGTCTAGGGCTACAGTTGTTCGACTGTACTAAGGAAGTTAAGCGGATGTTTAGCGGCTTAACACCAAGCATGGCTTCTGTCACTCTTTCGACTTATACGAAATATCGAGAATAAATTAGTCTCGTCCGAAACCCCGCATTATGCGGGATGGGTAGAAGCCACTAAAGCGTATTAAGGAGCTAACTTTGCAACTCCGCAATATCGATTCGCGGAGAAATGTTTTCAGAAGCCTGCCGCAACATCCATCCTAGCTGGGGAATCGGTGGCCGAGTGGGCTAGACCACACTAGAGGCCCACACCAGTCCGGAGCACGTGGAGCAAAAACCCGCGCTGCAGAACCCAGGGATCCTGGGTTCAATCCGCACCCCTGCCCGTTTAGATTTGGATGATCATCGTACCGGCGTGCGGTCGTGTATCACTACTGCGTGGTGCACGTAAGAGACCCCAGGCTAGCGGTTGTACTGCACTGGCTATAAATTGCTCATCTATAGCGCGTGACTCGTCCGAACTTTGAAATGGCTGACCTACTAAACGCTGCCATAAATATCCACACAACCACAATTAATATTCCAACCTTGCTTCGTTCACAAACCTTTGACTCGGTCTGCAAATTAAGGTTGAAAGATGCTTGAAACATTAATGCAAGCAACTGCATCTGTGCACTTTTTGTATTGTGCAGGCATAGTTCCATAAAGGACAATTCTAAAATAAATATTTAGAAAAATTACGTCCGCAAAATAACATCGTCTGCCGAAATAGGGTAATAATCGGTGAAATCCCCATGCATTCATAGCCGAGCTATCAGAGTGTGTTATATATATATATATATATATCTATAGTGCAGGAACTTTGAAACTCAACTTTACTTGCCTGCAACGAATTAAAAAACAAACATATGTTAGTGTATGATAATTGTATCGTGTAAGCGCGAAATTTAAATTGACCTCGAAGATATCATAGCTGTGTTGTTCCCACTTGAGAAAATAAACCCGGTACTCGGGAGCTTCACTCCATTTTTCTCCCCCTGATTGTACCGCAAGGCAGGGGTCCCTCATTTTTTTTAAAGTCACTTCCGCTTGTTTTAACTACATGATCACCTAATTCTGTCCTCCAGGTCTGAGCTCGTGCACGCCATATAACCGAATTGCTCCTTAGTCACAGGCTCCTTGTCTTAAGTCTCGACTGCTTAAGCAATTCTTCAAAGTTTAAAACAATTCCAGTTGTTCGAGTTTGGTAGATACGGCTGTGTGTTTTGAATACGATATAGCATCTGGCGTGGTTCGCTGCCATAAAATAGTGATTTTCATAATTGGTGACCGCAGATGTGTTCTAGTATTAAGCCTGGTAGAAAACGAAAATCTGACTTGTAAGAAATGAGAGTGTGCAGGCGAGCAGGTTCAGAAACGACAAAGTTATAAGCTATGAGAGGTGGGAAAAAACAAAAGAATGAGAACAAGATCAGAAACTGAGTTGAAATTCATTGATTTCAGCACATCAAAAAATAGACCTCCATACAAATGAAAAGGAGGGAAGGAAGGAACCCAAGTGCGTAAAGAGGGAGTATGCCACATTCTACAAGACAGACTAAACCACTCTCCAGGGTCAACATCTGGAAGATAAACTTAGTTGTTACAGTGGATTTAAAAAGTCGCTATTTACTTTGCCTAAGGTTTTACGGGCGAATTTTTTCAGCAGTCGAAAAACGGTATACACTGCATAGAAAAAATTTTTATAAAGGTTCCGCACTTTATTTATAGACCTAACCTAGATAGAAATAAGACTAACAGGAGTTAATTTGCTAAACCCCTTTCATTACTTTAGAATTTGATATGTGAAAGCTGGAATTATGGCAGATTCTTTATAACGTTTTGGCATGTGTGATACCCGCAGCGATGACTTCCTCAGGGCACAGAAACGAAAATGAGAGCTCTCATGACTCGAATCTTCAAAGCGATGAAGCTTCACCAGGACGGGCTGTTCTGGTCGCCTGCATCGCGATCACTTTCATCACGGGTATGACGCTGAGACCTCTGGGTTTTTACTTCGTCAACTTCATTTCCCATTTCGAGAGCGCAAGAGAACCGGTCGCATGGGCGGTGAGCTTGACGTCGGCGTCCGTCCTCTTTGCAGGTAAGCAGTCAATTTTTTTTTTTGTATAAAACGGGAATTATGCAAAGCTAGCGGATATCAATCTTTACGACCTCCGGTTGTCTTGCTACGACGATTACCCTCTACATACTTCTTTATCGACTTATTTGATTTTATTCGATATGCCTTGACCTACTCATTTGATGGCAGCTGTAAGAATCGGCTTTCCTTGGGCTCGTGTCTGCGTCATTCGATGAGATGCAACGGAGGTGTCTCCCTAATAATGCGTTGGCGTCGCCGTTAATGACCATTAATTACTAGGGTGAAGGTGAATCCCTGAGGCGCCCTGTGCAGAGCCTAGACTGTATGTCTCACCATGACGCATCTCGTACTATCCTCGTTCAGGTTCTGTGTTCAGCAAAAAACAAGAACCTATATATAAGGGGAGAGTTGAGCTAGTTGATATGATGACATGATATTACAAACAGCGTACAGGTAGTGAGGCTCCATAATATTAGCTTTTTAAACTTTGCGGTCGGAACAAAAGCTTACAGTAAATTACTACTCCTCCTTCCTTCCCCCGCTTTGTAAATTATAAACAGGTATACGAGAGTCAGCTTCAGAGTTACTCCCAGCTTCATGGCGATTACCTCGGAGTACAGCTGACAGGTTCTGTTTTGAAGCTTGCTTGCATGGCGGTGAAATGAAAGTCGAATACAGACTGTATTTGCGGCTACGGGTTCCAGGGTTTCTAGGCCCCATTTCCTGTTTCTCATAAAAAAAAAAGCCCCCAAAAAACAGCACCTCTTTAGGCAACCTTACTTTGGAATAAGTTTTAGAGAACAGTGAAAGTTACTATTCAATATTAATTCGAACGTACTTTTATTTTTACAAAAGGGTGAGAGTCAGATTGCGCCGTATTTACATTGATTTTATCAGGCTCGGCGGACATTAGATGAGGGGATGATCGTCGTCGTGAGTTGGACAAGTAACTAAACCCTGCCAATTACTTTATTAATTGTTGGCTTTAGGGGTCATCTTAAAATTCCGATATCGACGGAAATTCATTGAAGTGCCATAAATATGACCAGGCAATCTCCTTTTAATCGCAAAAAGGTAATGTTTTTTCTAATATTAATATAAAAAGTTTCCCCTTTTTCTTTACCCAATTTTAAATCGCATTTAGCGAGAGCGCCGCGAGCCCTACACCCAGCTTGACGCTTGGAAGAGTGACCTACTCGCTTTAATCACGTTATCACTACCTAGGTAGCGTGTCCTTGATGTGGGCAGACTGCACAATTGACGAAGTGACTGAAACTACTATATGGCTTTACTAAGCGTCACAATGGGCACGGCTTGCGGTGCTCCCTTTGCGCGCAATTTTTTATCGTGTGGAAAAAGCACGATAATAGATGGGTTAATACCTGAAGAATCATTACCTATTTGCATATTCAATAAATTAATGTGGCTTTATAGAGTAGTTGCCGTCAGTACTTTAATTGCAACGTGACCCTAAAACGAATAATTAAAACGTTCATTAACAAAGTTTAGTTGATTATGGTCAACTTACCTTGACTCTTATGACCCCAGTAATTTTCCGCCGGGCCTGATAAATGCATCGTGAATGCGGCAAGACTAACTCTTACATCCGTTTTTTTTATGTATGTTTGAATTAAAATCAATCACAGGCTTTTTGTTTATTTGCCCTACCATACAATTTGAATAAAAGTTGTATTTCTACTGGTTGCTCAATTCAGCTTATTCCTCAATTTTAGAGTGCTTAATCTCGTTCAACGCATCATTCGGCCTAATTTTAAGGCTGGCGCGATGTCTCCTTTCTGCTGTGGCTTATTCACTTTCCTTGAGCTTAACCGAAGTTTTCCCTTCTTATCGAAGATGAGGGCATCTCAGAAGACCAAAAGGTTTTTGCTTTCTTTTGAGATTTTTGAACTTTACCATTTTAGCCTCAGGTATGTTTTCACCGTGCTTCATAAACTTGATTTTAAATCAATAAATTCTCTCAATCGAGAGGGCGTATGGCTCAAGATGGTCATATTCGGCTATGCATTGGACTGTCTATCTATTCTTTTAAGACTCCGCTGTATGCTCGGAGCCGATCTGGTGTATTTTGAAGGCTGCAGAATCAGGAGTGTCTCGGCTATTTTCTTTTCCTCGTTTTCATCTGCCTTTACAATCGGCTCATAAGGAAGAGAAACATCGTAATATAAGGCAACCAATTGGATGCTCTTCCGAAAAAGTCGCGAAGATGGTTTTGATAGTTATTTTTTCTCGCTTTTTGTCACTGCGATAAACTCCAGCGTCCAGAGTCATATAAGCAGTTAATTCTTTCAAAACTTAGAGAGGCATGTACATTGAACGAGTATTTGCATAGGCTGTTCGTCACTAAACCATCCTCACGATGGGCCTTAAATATTCAAGCCAAAGGTGATTTCGTCTGCCGATCGTTTCTCTCTCTTGTCTTTGAGGGGCTAGCGTTGCAGTCGGGTCTTAATTTTTTCAACTCCCGAGATTTGGCACTAACATTTAAACATTCTAGAATTTCGAAAACAAACTCGTTAACGTGTTTAAAATTTACAACAGATATAGTTTGTTTAAAGTAAAAAGGCGCACGCAAATAAACGAATGACTTTCTCAATCTGACATTTGGGACAATTCTTTTTTTTATTTTGTCTTGTATGTGGCTTAGACTCGTGCCTGTGCTTGGCTTGGCTTTGTGCTTAATTCGCTTCCCGCTTGATTTAGAAACTGAAACCATTCGTTGTGACAACAAAGAACGTATTTGTTCTCCAGGAGTCGATGCTTCGTCACCGATCTGTTTCACTGGCTGCTAATAGGGGGCCAAGAAGTCTAGTGCGCCACGGAAAAAAATGGGCGGTGGCAGTTTAATCAAATGTAACCAATTTTATTTTGTAATATGTTTGTAATTCACATGATACTTAAGCAAAAAAGTGGTGCTCTGGGCTGTATGACTAATTCTTGTTCGCAAAGAGTTTACTATAATAGGCACAATTCATTCAGTACATTCAGATATCATAAAAATCCGTGTATAAAATTAAAGTCAATGAACAGGCAAGATATGGGTTATTTGCAATCTTTGGACATTCAAAGTGTGGTATACAAATTTTTTTTCATTGACATACACACACGCTTGTCGCTCTGTTCTAGGCGTCCTGCCAAAGTTGCTCCTCCGTTGGTTCTCAGCAAGGTCGTTAATGATCATCGGCAGCCTCTGTCAAGTGACTGGCGTCTTTTTCGCTTGCATGGCTCCAAATGTGTACATGTTGGCCCTGTCCTTTGGATTCCTACATGGTAAGACAAGTTTGTGTTAACTACCAGCATACGCCATATGGAGGCGTGTCTGTTTGAAACAATCAGGAAGCCATTTTAAAATTTCAGTCAAAATGATTGCAATAAGCAGTAATTCCTTTTGCCTGGAATACAGGAACAGCACAAATTGCTTTTTGACCCCGCATTATAACAGCTCCTTTATTCGCGGGACCATTTTCTGAATTTCAGTTATTCATCTTTCGTATGTTTGCTTACGTTTTTTAATGGGTTATGAAAAACTCAGTAAAAAAGAGATAATAGTATTGCTTCGATTTAGCGTATATATACCACGAATAAAGAAGGCGCTTTCAGCCTCGACTCAACCCAACTAAGAGGAATATGATTTTCATTATATCCTAGCCATCTACTTTATAGAGTCTCGCTCACTTTGCCATCTGAATATATTCTAGATGCGAAGTTGCTTTTTGCATTTGTATAATTCCTAGTAGAATATTAGTTATGTTCAGCGCAAAGTCTTTTGGAGCTTAAGAATTGGAAACAAATCGAGGCAGAGTAGCGTGCAGTGATCGTATATAGTTCTGTACAATAAGAAAGTTTAATTTCATGCAAAAGAATGAATAGAAAGACTTCTTGTGCAGAAAAACTGCAGTCTAGATGCCGGTCGGAGGATTTTGAGGTGCACACAATCGTGAGAAAAGGGTGCTGACTCTCATGTCTTTGTTTCAGGTATTGGTGCCGGTCTCGTATTCATTCTCTGCGGGACATTAATCGAGGAACGCTTTAAGGAGAATCGCGCACTTGTGATAAGACTTAACGTGACAGCTTCATGTGCTGCTGGTATCGCGTTCCCACGCCTACTCCTGTTCATACAGCAGACCTACGGCTACAAGGGGCTGATGCTTATATCTGCCGGATTACTCCTGAACGTCCCCGCCTTATGTTTTCTGCTCAGGTGAGAAATTCGCACGTCTTCGTTTATCCATGCCTAAATACGTTGTCTTTTTCACTCGCCTGCGGATTTCACGGAACGATATCTGCTTTTCCCCAACGTTTTTTTTTTATGCGTGTCTTATAGGGTGCCATAACTCGTTGGACAAGTGAACCATTGTACCAGTTACTCTACAAAAAATAAATAAAGGATTGCTTTTTAAAGCAAGCTTTTACTATTTATTGTAAACAAATACATTAAAAACATTAGGTTTAAAAAAGGCATAACATTTTGATATGCGGCAGGGACTTTAAGTTGCATTAAAAGCTCTTTCACCACGTATGCAAAGTATCTGACGAATGTTCACGTTCCAAAGTACATTCTTCTACTATGCAATACCATGTGATATAAGAAAATGTTTATACCTACGCTGCTCGTCGCCGAAGGCACAAATATGTGCTACTGCAATCAGTCGTCGATATCGACCATGCGTAGTAAGTAGCTCTAATCAAAATGAAAAGATAATTTCTTTAAGGCGTTAACAAACTGAACTGTTTTTAAGGTAATAGCGGTAGAATAGCAAACAGATTTATTACGCAGGCTATTTTCGCAGGTGCAGACGCCATGCCGAAGTCTGCAAAGGCTGCCTCGAGTACTAGTCTTGCTCATTTCCTTTCGTATGAGATGCTATAATTATTATTTGCTTAATGTCTTCACACTGATAATGATTAGGAACCCAGTGCTTTGTACAATAGAACAATTCATATAAATATTACTACCACACGATGCTCCGTAGGTGTTTGTTACGCCTCTAAAGTCCCCTTCTACGGCGTGAGACTATCTAGGGACAACAGAAACACTACCAATCTCAGCATTAAATTAAACGTTTTTTACAAAAAGAAACAACAACAAAAACATTGCCGTTTTTTTTAAATTTAAATGTGGATTTCAGTGACATACACATGATTGCTTGATATAAAGAAGGCAGCCGACGTTCATGTTCACTGTATGTATTTGTGGCGCAGGCCGCCGCGTCTCTTTGAAACTTCGCCTCGTTGTTCTTCTCTTTTCTTTCTTCTTTGAGCTTGGGACGACACCGAGAATGCACATCTGAGAAGCAGCTGATAGGGGTTGCGCCGTTCGCAGACGCAATTGATAGGATAAAAACAGTAGGTTGATTTGAAAATGGGATTTATTTCCGTTCTGCCATGGGGCCCCATCCCTGGGTCGGCGATTACAGGAACAGCCTGTATGCGGTGATCAAAAGAAAAGAAAAATATCATGTCTGCCTGTTAAAAACGACACACGCACGTTATTTTGAAAACAAGAAAAAAAAAAGCTGTAGGCACCAAAACGAATCCAATTGTGTGTAAATGTTTATTTTTACCGATTTTCTATGGGTAAGTCTCGCCGAGAAGAAGAGTATTCGAACCTTTTTATATGCTACAATTGTAGTATTTGTACTTTTGCTAAAATATACTTCGTCTCATATAAACACTCTATTCTTTTTACACATGATCACCCTTCATTATGCGCAGGCAATCCAGAGAGAATGATACAAACCACAACATACCACAACAATCGCGGTCGGAAGTCTTCACGATAAAGCCACAGAACTCCAATCTCATCCAGAGCGGCGTCCAATGCCATCGAAAGACCATCTTCAAGTTGCCTGTGTTCTACTTCATCGCTGCCTCGCACCTCACCTTCTTCTACATTATTAACCTCTGCACGTGCATAATGGTGGACACTATATTGAGCAAGGGTGTTCCTGTAGAATACACGATCACTGTGGCCCCTGCAGCAACCGTGTTCGACTGGATCGGTCGGATTGTTTTCCCCATTGCTACGGAGAAAGGCTACCTTAGCCGGTCATCCCTGCTGACAATTGACTACCTTGTTGTGGGCCTAGGATTGCTTATGATCCCTTTCGCCTATAATTATTGCACGGTCCTGGCAACGTGTGTTAGCTTTGGAGCTTTCAGTGGTCACGCCATCACTGTTCACAGTTCATTAATGACTGAGAAGATTGAAGCCGATCAAGTAGCCCTAAGCAACGTCATCGTCACGAGCATCGCAGCTGCGACGTTTCTTACAAAGCCGTTCGTTATAGGTGAGCTTGAATTTGGTTTAATATTTACATCAGTACGAAACCATGGTGCTCAGAGGGTGTCTCCGTCTGAGGCATTTACCACGTTTTTAAACTTGGTTCTTAGATTTGCGCCTGCCAACGTTACAAGAGTGTCATATTGTTGCCTGCTGTGACCCTAGTTGTATCACTGCAGAAGATATGAATGCGGCAGATGACTACACTGTTGTAAGTCGCTCTATCACCAGACATTCGACGGAAAGCAGAGCATAGAGGAAATGGGACGCGCCGTACTAGCAGTGAGCCTTGCGTAGGGTCGCCTTGTTCGCAGCATTTTTACAGCCAACCACAAAAATAGCGAATCCAACAGCATAACACACCGGCGCGTGTCACGCAATTTGTTGTCACTCGGGGACCAGATGGGATGTATGGGCGAGACAGGACGGTAAGCAAACCTGTCCAAGATGCGTTAAAGCACTCTTGTCTGAATAACAACTTTACTGAAATTCGCCGCAGTTTGACCGATGACACGTTTGAAAGTGTAATGAACGTTACTCTGCTCGCGCTCTTTATTAACAGTTTAAGGTCAAACCAAACATTTAGCCTAACCATCAAAGTGGAAGCGCAACTGTCAGAGTCCTATATGGAAGGGATTCAGAAAAAATGACCAGCGAAGGGATGGCAACAGTAGCACAGCCGCCAGCCTGGACCTCTTTAATATTTTAGTAGTTGCAGTGCCAAACGGTATTAAACGAAATCTAAATATATTTGCCGCAATTAAAAGTAACATTATATTGGCGAAGTCTGAACACAAAAACGAAATTGTCGAAAGGAGGGTGATTCTAAGCAGAATTTTCAAGATTGATGACTGAAGGTCCCAAAGGATTTGGCTTCCGTTTATAAGCTTTTTTTTTTTTTTTTTAACGTTGACGGGAACGCTTTTTAGACCCTACAAATAATCTTGAACAGTAATTAGCTCAGAATTACGAAATTCATAACTTGGTTCCTGAAATCTACGGAGGGCTATTGGGCTGATCATGTTTGACAAATAAATTTGGAAGTATATATTTGTCAACTTTTAATTGTAGCCTTCCAGAAGGGCTGCAAAAAGTAAAATGAAAACTACGGTAGCGGGATTTAAACCCCGTGAGTCCTGGTGGACGAGTCATGAGCTGCCAACTCGACCGCGGGTCACGCGGTATATATCTCGTTTCGGAAGTGACAATCGTTGTGGGGCTGATATAGTTTTTTTTTTTAATGCACTCTTTAGCTACTTCACCCGTTTCTCGCAATATGCTCTCTGGCCTCGAATGCGCCGTGCCTATGCGCGGCGCGCGTATGCGGAGGCGCCAAGCGGTGGCGCGGCGCCTCCACATACGGAAGACGTCCGCATACGCACGAGGTCTTCATACTCAGGCGCCGCGCGTATGCAGACGACGTCCTCGACGTCGTCCTAGGAATAGTTCTTGAGGTCGCCATGGAGGTCGTCCCAAACGTCGTCATTGACGATGTTCGAAGTCTTCCTTAGGTCGTCCTTGAGATCGCCCTAAAGGTCGTTCTAGACGTCGGTTTGACGTCATACTCTAGGCAGTCGTCCTCGACGTAGTATTTGAGGTCGCCCTAGAAGTCGTCCAAGAGGTTGTTCATGAACTCGCCCCAGAGGTCGTCCTAGAAGTCATTCTAGAAGTGGTCTTTTATGACGTTGTCGTCGACGTCGATCTAGATGTCATCCTTGAGGTCGTTTTACAGGTCGTCGTAGACGTCATCCTCGACATCGTCCTAGCAAGCAGATAAGCCCGCACCACGCGTATACGGAGTGGCAGTACGCACACACTCACATTTGCGCCCAAGCTAGGACGCAATCATCGGTTTCAGTTGATCTAGTTGGTGCATGGCCAATGATGGTGGTGAAACAGCTTGAGCATTAAACGATTACACAGAGAGAGGAACAGATACCAAGCTGCAATGATGGTGGGGAACAGCTGGTACAATAAACGATTACACAGAGGGAGAATGTTATACAATTACACGGGGACGAAGCGATCACTTAATTTCCAAGTGGCGCACTGCTATCGCGCTGACGTCAATGATTGCGTCGGGAACCATTTATCAAATCGTTTGTTTACTGAAAACTTGCGTCGAGCTATTCATAGTGAGCTGAGACGTGAGGCTTAAGAATGAGTGCTACACCAATTCACAAACAACCGGTTGTAGTGGCTTCTGCAGACATTCTGTTTTTTTTTTGTTTTTTTTTTATACATTATATGTTGTCCAAGTACTAATTATGGTCGTACGTGTCTCACGCGAAATATTGTGGCTTCTATTTATGTTGTGTGAAGAAAAAAAAATTCTCAACGAAGAAATTGTTTTTGGCGTCGGAAGGAAAATGGTTGCGAGCGTCACGAGTAGTTCTGGCGAAAGGCGTCTCCCTCATTTAAAGGATCGCAACTTAGCCGTACACCATATCAAAACGTCCAGATCACCAGGCACGCAATCAAAGCTTTAGATTCCCTAACTTTCTATATGGCACCAGCTAAACATACAGGAACAGCAGGGAACAAAAGAGACAAAGGATGTAAAAAAGAAAGTATATCTTTATGGATTCTTCCCTTATGTTCAGCAGTCAGCATAAACAAGCAATAGACCAACTTGCTCAGTTTAAAGCCGTCATATAGTATATTCCTCAACCAAATGCAGCATGAACCTGACAACATCTAAAGTGGTGAATATAAGATATAAACATACCATGATTTTTGACGTTTAAAATATATAAAATTCGGCTATTTCTGCTCTGTTAGTGATACATAATTTCTAATTTAAGCGATTTTTAAACTTTTAAATTTATAGTAAATTTTCCTTTCTCTTTTTTAACAATTTCCTCCTTTCTTTCATTAAGGACGTTGAAACTTTTGAGGGGTATTTTTATATTTTGTGACTTTCTATGATGTTCCTCAATTAAAGAAGTCCTCTTTACGTCCCCGTCTTCGGTGTTTTATCGTTTGAAGTATTCGTATCAAGACACCAACACGCTGGTTTTCAATTATTAATATTTTCCGTATTGTTTCGGTAGGGAATAATGAGTGCAAGGATTCACGGGTTGCAGAAGGGTATTCATTGTTGAGTTTAGGTTACTCATTAATATTAAATTTTGATTATCTATACGTACCTACCTTATATTATCTTATTTAACGCCTGTCTCAAATAACAATGATTTCCTTAAAGTAAGATTCGCCCTGGATACTTATCAAAAAGTCAATAATCGGCGGTTAAATTAAAAATGAAATACTAAAATGAAGTATGTGAAGACCGGGGGCGTATATTTCCTAGTTACGCAGATAGCATGGTGTCTGGTAATCTTATTTATCAGCTCGAAACAATACGACTTGAAGAGGGAAGGGGGGGGGGGGGAGCGGTATCTTTAGGACTGACGTGCTTTTTGACGATTTCTTTTCAGGACACTTCAGAGATCACCTCGGGTCCTATGACGGCCTTTTTCATATAGTCGGTCTTGTGACTCTCGGCAACGCTGGAGCGTGGTTGGTGGTGAACTGTCTTACGCGGCACCTGAAGAAAAGAACGTGGATGACGGCCAACTCTCAAATCAGACACTACAAGGATCCTGTGCTAACTAATTACCAGTCCTGTTTTTTCACGACCATGATGGCCGAGTAGTATGGGTAGAAAATAATTTTACTAAAATGAAACGTTGCTTAAAGTGTTACGCTGGTGAAAGGTTGCACCAAAATAAATGACTGATATCAATTTTACGCAGACTAAATACAATGACTGCCTAAATATTACACTAATAGGAAACCACGATACACTCTAAAACCGACGTTAAAAATGCTACCACCAGCTTTTGAGCGGGCATTCAGTAGTTTGGTTTTCGTTAAGCAACCTTGTGCTTCGATGTCATGTTAGCACTGAAAAGAGGTTCCTTGTTTGTACTGCTACTCTTCCTTTAGCGTGGTTTTCTGTTGAGTTTTCAGCCATCCAGAGAAGGATTTCTACTACTTATTATATTTTTGCGGCCATGGTTTTTAAGTGATTCAAAGTAATTTCGCACGAAGATTATCGAGAACTTTTGGTAGATCCTACGCTTTTCCTGATCAGTGCGAGCTTACGATTAGCTTCCAAGCTTCTGCAACGTGCATTGCACACTTGCAATGTATGTTGCAAGTGTGAAGATTACATTGTTGTTCTGAGTTTGCGCTGAGCCTGCATTCATTGTGGCGAGCTCGCTTTTCGGCCGGCAACTTTATCAATGTGTGTTAATATGTGCTACAGATGTTCAGTATCTACGATGTAAAGTAGTAAAACAGCCGTAGCATCTTACCTAACTGGTCAGGGATGCTCTTGTGACTGGGCCAGTCGTACGCTTTGCATTACCGAGCAACATTATTAGATTAGCTGAGTTACGGAAGTGCTCATAAAAGCTGATTGCACGACCAGCACACCCCCTCCCTTACAACGACTCGCCTCCCTTAGAGGGACCTTAGCCTCCCTTCGTTCGACGCGCCAGACAGCAGCTATGATACCTGGAGTGTACTTGATAGAATTTGTACGTTTCTAAGCACAGCATCTATAAGGTGTTACACCGTACTATATGAAACACACAGTTTTAAAACGAATATTTAGATGGCGCTTCAAACGATGGTAGGCGGACTGAACTGAGTAAGGGAGAGAGTATTCTTTCCGCGGGAGTTACGCAACTGAGGCAATTTTATCACAATGGTACCGGGGTATGAACTTTCCGTCCCACGATAGCCATGCAGCTGATTTCAACGGGTTGGCATCGTTCTCGAGCTGGTGGTTTGGTTTAAGTCACATATCCCCGAAACCAAACTTTGAGATAAGAGATGTACAAAACTATATAAACATCGGAAGAAAAATGATACCCCGGAATTCAAGGACCCTTCCTTAATTAAAAACAATCCTAACCCTAAAATCAATCAAATAGACCGGAATTACCCTTAATAGCCATTTGTGTGCGCGCTAATCTATGAGCGTTGATTTGCTTGGACGGTACTTGCTGGCAAAAATCGCGCATCAAAGTCCGCTGTCGGACATACGCTAGCTATCTTTCTTTTTGACAATGATGAAAGTCACATATTGTCCGTCCTGGATTCTTATTTTGCGCAACTTGGTGCATGCTAAGTTGAAACAATAGCCGTATTACTCTAAAACTCTAAACCGGATTTACTTGTCACGTGTAATGAAAGTGGTTATCTTTCCAGCGTGAAGTGTGAAAAAATGTAGTTTAATTTATGAATTTTGCCATTATGAGACATAGTGCTGGCGCTTTTCATTTTTATTTCAAACTAAAACTATTATAGGAGCATACCATTGTGCTTTAGAGAAAATAGGGGTTGTGTTTTTGTAACATTGAAAGCTATGATCCACAGAACTTTCATAGAAGGGGGAAGAGGGAACGGGCAGTTGAAGCATCTTTATTACACCCTTCACCTCTCCACCCCATGAAGCCACGGTATAGGTTACTGGAGAAGATGGAATAAATACGAGCTTCCCAGCGACTACCTCCAGGGTTTTATTGATCTTAAGATACCGACACCTATCGAAGCAACACTTGTTTGCGACGTTTGTTGCATGAAAAAGTAGTATTCCCAATGGCAATAATGCCAACGCCAACTCCAGCAGAAAAAAAATATTGATACAAGCGAGTTTTCTTCAATTTAGCATACGTTTACACACGAATATTTTTTATTATTTCTCTGAAAAATAGGCATTACACAACAAAGTTAAGCTTTGAATTTCGAAGAATTTGGAACCTAACAAAAATAAAGTCCGATACACTCCAAATTTTCGGAAAAAATAGATTCCGAAAAACATCCTCCGAATTTGACGAAACATGAACTCCGAAAGCACATAATCCTACTTATAACCCACAACTAAGCATCACTATAAAGGAATTTTCATGAAATATTAAGTTTGAAAAGTTTGAAATCGTTTAATCGTGCTCTACAATCGAAAGCTTTATACATGCATGGATCTGAGATGGTATATTGAATACATGATAACTCTATTGTTAAATATGTAACTTGGCATTTAATGGATTTGAAGAAAACAATTGGGGTGTCTGTTCTTAGGGGAAGCTTTGGCTTCGCCAAGGAATTTTGCGTTTTGTTTACGCAGCGTCATTCCCAACAAACGAAAATGCTCAAAGAGAACGAAACCACGAATCAATGGGGAGAACATGTCGTCTGTTTTTTGCGCAGGAGTAGCGCTGATTGGCTCTGACTGAAGGATAGTGCGTGGACATAGAAGCAAGTTGCCTGGATGTCGACCTACTCTCCTTCAATCGGAGTCAATCGGAGCTCTGCGTTCTGACCTCACCACAACCACTGCAAATGAAGCAGGCGAACTTTCGCTCCGCATAGACACATGATTCATTTAAAACACTGGCTCTTAAGAAAACGAAAAAGGAAAGCGTAAGAATAACTTCAAATGTATACGAAAGTTTCAGCTTCAATATAACAAACGCCGTTACAGACTTTACAAAACGTTATTTCTAAAATGAACTCTCGGCAGTCTTGCAGAATCATCAAGAAACCATTTGGCGGTATCTTACCGATAATTAGAAGCCCGTTGAAAATATTAAGATAAACGACAGTCTTGTTTTAGATGAAAATGAAATTGCCCAACATTGCATACGTTACTTTCAATCCCTTCTCGGAGGGAGGCAAGGGGGGAGGGGGGTGTACGCAAGTGAGTACGCATGTCGCGCGTCGTCGTTATCTTCAGATGCTCATTTTATTTCCAAAAGCGGTGTTTTGCACTGCTTTTAAATCCGAAACATAAATCTGGCTTGGGCCCCAATAGGATCCCAAGCGCTCTTTTTCCAAAGTACGCGGAGTCCTTGGAACGTTTCTTGATCGTTATATTCCAAACATCGCTACCTCCTTATCCTAGACTGGTGGCGATTACCGTGGCCTATTGAAATAAACAAAATCATTTTGTAATGTACTCTTGGTTAAAAAAAAGAAACATATAACCTCTACTTGCTTGGAGTTACGAATCTCGCCCCTACAGTTTACTTTATGAGAAAATTTCACTGAACGTTTTCCTTCATACAGGTCTACTCGTTCACGTCTACGTGGTGAAATTGTTGACATTTTACTTGATATATGTGTGTCAAAGTTTAACAAATTGACCGTATAAAAAATTAATTTTGTAAAAAGCGTTACTCGATTATCGGTAGGTTGATCGATCAAGTGCCCAGCCCAACTGTTCACTGGGTACGGAACCTTGTCATTAAAGTTAAGTCATTTGTAATAGAAACCCACGCAATCTGAATAAGTTTGTTACTAGCTGACCGATGCTAACAAGGTTTTGTGCCTGATCATATTAGAAACCTTCTACTGGAATTAGCCCAAAAAGATATTCCTTATCCATTTCATTTAGTCTAAATATTGAAAATATTTTTTCCTAAAATCGGCATGGCTGTGAGAAAGTCTCTGCGCGTTTTGTGGTGTTTTCATTGTTGTGGTATTATAAATAGAAGTCACGTTGCATTGGAATTTCAAAACTTATAGCTTCACAGGAAACACGCGGTCCGTTCAAAAAGTGCAGCCCTCTTCCACCTATACTACAACGACATTGCATTTGGTTTAGCCAAAATTGCAGACTTTTGGTTTCTAAAGTCACAGCTCATTAAACAACAATGTTTAGAAGCCGTCTATTCTTGGGGTATGTCTTCAATGCCATGATACGCTCTCTAAGATTACTTTAAGGACAAGCTATCGTACTTGCGTCCCAATGCAGACATTAAAGTTTCTCAGATTTCTCCTGATTTATTAAAGGTATGGATATAGTATTTGATTTCGTACAACGCATTCGCAAACACCAGCTCGTGTATAGATGGAAACGCTGTGACATCCGAATTTGCTGTTAAAAAGCAATGAGAGTGAATGACGCTATTAGAAGCGAAGCCCTTCTGGTTGTTCCCTCTTCTTTTGGCCTGAGGTTTCTTGTAAGGAAGGCGACTACCAAGACTTAAAGTTTTCAAGGACCAGCTCGGGGCTGGTCCTCCATAATTCGGTCTTTTGTGCAGTGTGCTGTAAAACATTTCTACGCGTTCACTTTCTTCCAGATAAACACTGACCAACATCTGTGAATGACAAGGCCAAAAGTATGTTCGTATTGTTATGTTTTTCTCTTTTTTACCGGAAACGCTATCTGGAGAGTTTCACACAGTACGTATAACCCGTGTTTAGAACAAAATTTTCTTCTGTTTTTTTTTATTGTGGGCCTTGTTTCTCTTGACCTCATGAGGTTTTATCCCGACATCGCTGGTTGTTAATTTTTGTCAAGCCAAAACAAAACAAAGAGTGAGCGAAATTTTCTAACACTGCAGACGACAACTTAAATTAAGAAAAATAAGTTAATAATTTTTTTCTTGGTTTTACCTTACCCCGATTCTGGTGGCTCTGCTACCATACGATACATTGTTGTGGTTACAAGAAGAAATGATTGCACGGGAGTAACAGCTCTCAATATCAGCTTTTTATCTTTTTTTTGTGGTTTGTTACAAGTAACACGCTATCAATGAAAGGCAAAGCAACTTGATTAATAAATAAATCGCAAAAGAGGAAGAAATAGAATGAAACGAAGTTACAAGCTTTATTTTCGCCTAGACTCAATCGAGGGACGGT